TGAGCTTTGTGCTCATCAGCAGTTAATTGGAAACAATAGTCTATGGGCTTTTCTACCTGGGCTGGCTTACCTTAGCTATCAGCCTCCTGAGTGGTTGGGATAGCAGGCATGAACCATTGATGCCCAGCTTGCTGTAAGAGAATTTGAGGAATAATGTGTGTGTGTGTATGTTTGTGTGTGTGTGTATGTATGTGCACTTGATTTCCCTTTTGGTTGTTTTGCTTGTATCATTTCTGTTAATTGAATTACATATAACTGGAAGTAAAGAGCATCTTTAGAAAGTAGATGAAAGCCTTTGACGATCTGGACCCTGAAAGAGTACCTTTTACCTATCAGTTGGTCCCAACCACTTTTTCATATGAAATCTGTGATTGATTCTTAGCATTTTTGGTACTTTTTTTCTGCCTTCAGTTGTATTTTCCAGTGTATGAATGTTTATTTTGTGCATATAAATCTTTTGTATGCTGCATTAAAATAGAAACTTCTGTGGCGCTGTGGCTCAAGTGGTAGAGTGCTAGCCTTGAGCTGAAGAGCTGAGGGACAGCACCCAGGCCCAGAGTTCAAGCCACACAACAACAACAACAACAACAAAAGTAGAAACTTCTTTTTCCTGTACTGATTGGAAAGATGTTAAATGTGAAGAACATGTTCCTTAATTGTTCCTTTTTTTTTTTTTCTGTTTTCAATTACCCTTTTTTTTTTTTTTGCCAGTTCTGGGACTTGAACTCAGGGCTTGGGCAGTGTCCCCAAGCTTCTTTTGCTCAAGGCTAGCACTCCCATGTGATTTTTCTGTTTATGTAGTACTGAGGAATCAAACCCAGGGCTTCATGCATGCTTAGACAAGCACTCTACCACTAAGCCACATGACCAGCCCCTCAATTATCCTTAAGCAGTTGTTCAAAAGGGTTTCAACATGTCAGTTTGTGAGTACAATGCATCTTGGTCAATGTCACCTTCCATGGTTCTCTCCTACCTCCCCAAGCTCATGGTGTTTCTGATAGTTGCTGTGAGCAGCATGGCCAGTGTTTCCTAAGTTTCCTTTGGACCTGGAAAGAGGCTTATGGGTGAGTGAAACACAATGCCAAAGGCTTCCAGAAGAAAAACAAACAGAAAAGAAACAAAACAAGATCACGGTGTAACATAATAACTTCTTGTCACCAAGTTGCTCAAGTGTCCTGCACCCTGTGGCAGCCCCCTCAGCAGGTGCTCCTTGCTTCATCTGACCATTAGGATTCTCTCCCTACATCCCCAAAGCACAGAGTGGAGCTGTTCAGATTCTCTGAACATCAAGGAAAAGCCTTTCTCAGCTGAGGCAGTGGACTGCTAGCTAGCCAGCAGTGAGTGTGTTATAGATAAACACTGTGCTACACTGAGATTCTTGGGCTGAGTTAAACTGAGGATGTGGAGTTAGATGGAGGAATTGAGTTTCAGCAGTACCTCAGAAAACTTTAAGAAATATTGATCTTTTGAAGATAGTTGTGATCTTCTGCTGGTGCATCTGTGCATCACTCTGCCTAGACAAAGATGTATGCTGTAAATACTACTGTTTTTGCCCAATGCTAAGGATGAGAGCAACCTCTGGAGAAGGTGCAATTAACCTCCACTTGCCCATCAATGTCAGCTTGCCATGGGATAAGGCTGGAGGTCTCATCTGACAGCTTTTCTGCCCTGGAGACCATTAGCAAAATGTTGAGATCATGTGGGAAAAGCAGCAGTACAATAGGCACAATTATGCTGCAGCTGAACTTACTGATTATATACTCATTAGCTACTAGATTAGAAAACAGAGTCAAGAACCAAAATGGAGCCAGGTGCAGGTGGCTCACCCCTGTAATGCTAGTTACCCAGGAAACTGAGATCTAGAGGACTGAGGTTCAAAGCCAACCCAACCAGAAAAGTCCATGAAACTCCATCTCTAAAATAACCAGCGAAATGCTGGACTGGTTCAAGTGACAGAACACCAGCTTTGCAAGCATGAAGCTCAGAGTTCAAATCCCAGTATCACTAAAAGTTGTATTTGTCTATATGTAGTTTTACTTTTAGATGAGCAATTTTGGAATGATAATCTTTCACTGTTTTGAAATGTTCATCATTGCCTTCTTTATGGTTCTCTGTTAAACATCTATAAAAATCTCTTTTATTAGCTATACTGCATGTTGAATGGCAGAGTGCTCATGCCTAGGGACATGGGAGGCTGAGATTAGGAGGATTGTGGTTTCAGGCCAGCCTGGGCCAAAAATAAGCTCTCCAGACTCCAACTCAATAGAAAAGCCATCCTAGAGACAGAAGGAAATATAAATAGAAGGACTGTGCCCTGGCAGACCTTATTTCAGAAATAATGGGGAATGGGGGTGGAGGAATGGGTGGGCGTAGAGCTCCTGCTTACCTAGCATAAAAATGCCTAGATTTATAACCCTGATGCCCCCCCCCAAAAAAAAGAGAAAGAGGGAGGGAGAAAGGCTGATAATAATGTAAGATAGTAGGTAATGTTGGGGCTGGGAATGTGGCTTAGGGGTAGAGTGCTTGCCTAGCATGCACAAAGCCCTGGGTTCCATTCCTCAGTATTGCATACACAGAAAATGCTGGAAGTGGTGCTATGGCTCAAGTGGTAGAGTGCTAACTAGCCTGACACACAGAGGGGCTCAAGGACAGAGCTCAGGGTCAGAGTTCAAGCCCAGGACTGGCAAAGAGAAAAAAAGAGTAGATAATGTTGTAATTATGCAAAAACAATAGTATTATTTAGCCATTCAAGGACTCACTACAGGAACTGACAGGCTATGATACTTTTGCAGCACAAGTTTGTGGCTTTTTAGCAGCAGATTTGGAGGCAGATGCCAGAAGACACACACTTCACAGCACGTTCAAATTTGGGTGAGAAGTAAAAAGAGAGCTAGTACCACACTCTGGAGAAATGGGCAGAATCATGCTTTCAAGTACTGGGGAGCCTTCTGATTATACTGTGCTGAAGAAACACTTCTCTGAGAAAGGCAGGTGTCCCCAAACCCTCCCATAGGTAAAAATTTAAAAAAATTCTATGGAGACATTTTTGTTCTCTCATAAAAATCATTTTATTGGCACACTGGAAATGACATGGTTTTCTTTCTAGTACAGTAGCTGTATGCATTTATAATTGCAATTCAGTGTAAACTAAGTGTTACAAGTCACTAGAAATCTAATTAGCGGAATGGATTTAATAAAGAATGAGAGAAACTAGGAGTCTACAGCGGCCCAGCCATCGAGTCTCATTGGAGCGTAAATCAAATATCAAACTAGTGTTGTCCTGCAACTGAGAATTTCTCTAGCCATGAAAAACGAAGGTAGACATAAACAGGATAGCACCCATTTAATAAATTAGGTTCTAACTAGAAAAACAGTATCACTGACTGAAATCATCTAACTAGAAGAAGCACAGGAGTAAATAATGAGCTATTTACATTTATTACTTTTTTTTTTTTGCCAAAGCACTGTTAGCTTTCCCATCTTACTCCTCCTTTTATTGTTATTCCTGGCTGTGGTGGTGGTGGTGGTGGTGGTGTGTGTGTGTGTATGTGTGTGTAATATCACAGAAAGTAGTCAGTGAATGAGAACTTTTATTTTTATTTTCCCAAGTCCTACATTTTCTAAAACTTCATGTCAAACTAAAGAATCAGAAGGGTGTCACTCTCTAGAAGTAATATGCACTATTATTCTGCCATCAGTCCTAGAAATGACTCAAATTCAGGTTTTTCCAAACTTGATTTGAACTTCTCTAGAAAGTCAGGCTGCGAATGGCAGCAGGGTGGATGGATTTTGGTTGTCACAGCACAGACAGTTCATGTGGAGACAGCATTTTTGTCCTGAGAATGTGACTTAAGATCCCCATTGGTGACATGGGATCTGCCCTCTGCTCACTATTTTGTTTTGAAACTGTTCATTTTTTAAGGCTTGTTATGATTGCAGCATGAAGGAGTCAGAATGCTGACATCGTTTCTGCCAAAGAAGGGCTCAGTGATGAAGTAGCAGCAGGGTCGAATATTAACATAGTGCAGTTGGAAAGGCATCGAACTGGTACATTCTTAGTGCTACCATGACTAGAATGTGGGGGTTTTATTTAGCCTTGTATTCTAGGAAACCTGAAAGAGCTTGGCAGTGACCCTTTTTGACTCTTGTCTGTTTCCTTTCTGTTACTCATAACAACGTGCAACAGTGTGTAATTTTTGCTTTGTTCTTCTACTAGAGTACATGCTCCAGGGGGGGCAGAAGCTGTGCCCATCTGTCTGCTTATTGTGTGTTTCCACCGTGTCTAAAACATGACATCTAGAATATTGCCTGGTCCCTCATAGTTTTGATTTAAGAACCTGTATTAGCTAAATGAATAGAACCATGAAATCCTGTGTTCTGCCTCTGTACAGTGTCTGGTCTGTTTCTTGGGCTATCCTGAGGATCCTGCCCTGCTGTGAATCTGTGCAGCTGATAGTTTTTGTGCTTCAGAGGGTGGTAGACTTCTCAATACCTGACGCACGCTGTCCATCTCCCAAAGATTAGCCACACAAGAGCAGTCAGGGCAAGAACATTCTAGAAGGTAAACTGCAAGCTCCAAACTCAAGTTTGTTCTTCCCTACCTCCTGCTTCAATCTCTGTTTGACCAAAAGCTTAAGAAATAAAGATTTTAAGAGAACTTTCTCCTGGCAGTGCCACTTCAGGAACATGATCAATAAGAAAATGAACTCACCTATATAAAAAAAATTAAGTTCAAGAAAAGCTACTTCTGGAGTGGCGAAAGAAACATGGTTGGGCTGCCTAGGTCCTTTGTTGGTTAGAATCGCAGGGGGTGGCAGGGGACTCGGGTGTGGCCGAGTGGAGAGACTGGAGGGAAAGGGCAGAATGGTAGTTGTGAAGATCATAGAGGACCAGCTGTTTTCTCCTCCTTCTCCCTCTCCAGCCAACTCTGTGTTCCGCCACGGCTGACTGGGCTTCTGGTTGTCACTCTCCCCGGCAGCCGGTGCCTCCACAGCACATCCTTAGGCTATGGATGCTCTGCTGGAGTAGAAGTCGGGGACTGGGAGCCCGGTGTGAAGTGTGACCTGGGGGACAAGACTGTGAGTTCTGCAAGACACCGCAGGTCTGGACCCAGTGCCCTAAGTCACAAAGCCATCTCTTCACTTATCCTGAATGTCTGTGCTAACAGACATCCAAGTGGATTCTAGCTGTGCTAAGAGCCTCATTCCAATGGTGGGCTTACAAGTCTTGGTGACACTTGATGATATGGTTCTCAGCCACCTACCTTTTAAAAAAGACTCAGGAAATTTGTAGTTCCTCCTGACAGAAGACATGGGCACTGGTTTATAGGTAATGAAACCTGGTTCCACTTGGTTAGCCACACCAAGTCCAAAGACAGATAAGAGATTAACCTGTCCACTAGCTCCTCAGCTGGGATACACCTTGCTTCTGGGATGGCATGAAAGACCGATAACCAGTTATGAAGAAACATGGGCATTTATTATGTTACTTCCATTTCTTTTCAACCTTAAGCCTAGAACCACTTCATATAGTACTCTCCATCATTTCCTCCTTCATGTCTCTGTCTTCTATGACCAATAATCTCTTATCTGAAGACACTCAGAACATCATGGAAAACCCTGGCGCATACCTACTATGATATCCTTTAAAAGAGAAATGGCTGAAACATAGGAACCTTTGAGTGAGGTTTTTTTCTGAGACTCACTTCTAGGACAAGGAATAGTTCTCTTTTTTCTAATGTAGAAGTCAAACTCTGGACAATTAGATCCCAGCAGCCTCCCCTCTCCCTCTCAGTAGAAAGTCCTATCTATTTACAGGAAGATAGGAGGAGGTAGCCCTAGGTTGTGATCATTTATAGTACATATATTGATAGACAACGATGAACTGTTTTGAGATAAACTTCAAGACTATGGTTCTCATAGGGTAAAAATCAGCTGTCGTGCTTTTCTTCTTCAGACCTGCCTCCAGGCACTCATTTGTTGTATGAGGTGATAATTGTTAATAAGAGGCCCAGCTCAGGAAGGCAGAGAAACCCCAAGTCTTGGCTGGTAGGGCATGGCCTTCCATGATTGCATGGTTCTAGTCTTCCTCCCCATGACCCCCTTACCCAAGCCCACAGCTTCCTTCCTCTGCTCTGTTCATCTCAGGCCATTTCCCCTGCCCAGAAGGCTCCATATGGCTCCATCCTTCATCTCCATTATGGCTCAGCTCACCTGGGAGTCCCACAGGGTCAACCTGTACCAACCATCCTACTTAAGGCTGCAACTACCCTCCCCCAGCCTCAGCAATCCCACCCCCTATCCCCTTTCCTCTGTTTGACCTATCAATTTATCCATACATTGAAGAGAATGTCATTGTACTATTGTTTCTTGTTGGTATCCTCTAACGAGAACATAAGCTCGAGGAGGGGAAAAGTTTATATCTGTTTTTCCCCTTACTGATGTACACTGAATATCTGTAATTGTTTCTGATGTATTAGGGGGAACCCTGTAGGAATTTGTTGATGAATGAAAGAGAGAATAAGGCATGACAATAACTTGTGTGCAGGGACTATGTCTGCTCTTCCTTTTGCACTCAGCAGAGAGGAACAGGACCCAGAGAAGGGGCTGAAAGGTTCTCTATTTTCTGACTGGGACTCACACTTTTATCTCACAGTTCCTTCTCAGACAAGCCGGGAGCTTTGTGTGAGTCATCTCAGTTGTTTGGTTAAAGGCATTCATTTCTACTTAGAGACGAAACTAGAGCGGCCCATGAATAGAACAGAACCGTTGAGGTTCCCATGGGCTGCTCACTAGAAAGTATGCAAGGACAGGGAAGGGCTTAGGCTGCTGTGGAATCCTATCAGTCAGCCATATTGACCCCTTTCTCTCCTCTCCTCTACACCTTGCTCTGCATCTTATGTTATCCACCTTCTTTGGGGAGGGGTTTATAACTGCAGCTAGCAGAAGCTGCATTTACACCCAGGGGCCCATGCTTACCTGCACATTCCTGTTCAGGCTGACGGCAGGGAAAAACATGCCCTCCACATTCTCAAATGCTATGGGGCCTTGCTGCTCATCGTTGATGAAGAACGTCAAGGTCTTTCGATTTAAGTCAAGGAGGACCCCAATGGTGGCCCCCTTGGTGATCCCTCCCTCCGTTCTGTGAGAAAGAAAAAAGTGGGGTTAGCCTTGCTTGTTATTCTGACTGACACACACACACACACACACACACACACACACACACACACACACTCATTCTCATTCTCTCTCTCTGTCTCATTCTCTCAGGTACGGTGAAGCCAGTGTTTCACAATCTGTTCAGAATGTTTGCCCCTTCCTCACCTTTTAACATATTTTTTCTCTAAGCACATTTTTTAAAATGTAAATCTTAATGCCACAGGCAAACTGTATACCTCTTTATGTACTGTATGTATAGCTGGGCTTTCTATGTAAAATATAAGTAGGATTTTTTTTCTTCACCCCCACTAATTTCGACTCTCTTGTGGGAGACAACCACCCCTGGTGGGTACACAGGCTGATCCACATTGTTGAGGGTGAATTCATTCATTGGGGGTCTTTATCTCTGAACTGCAGTAGTAGAAAGCCAACCACTAAAGTCTAGGGGGGGGGGAATAGCCTTTTGGCTATCAGAGCTCTGACTTAACTATAGTACCTACTTTGCACAATGATGTGAATTAAATCATTAAATACAAAATGACTTCATTTGAAAGTTAAAGAAGCACTAGGTTGAACAAAACATATGCATGAGAAATTGGAGTGTGGGAATCTTTTTCTTTCCATTAAATCATAAAAGTTATCCCTGAAACACAATAATTTTTAGCATGTTGAATTTGAAATAAGAAGCTAAGAGGCTCTCTGTAAAATGACAATATTGAAGAAAAATCTTTTCCATAAAGTGAACAATTATATCACAGGCAAGTTAGTGATTACATACAAATGTCATTTTACAAAGAATTGTGTCTTGGGCTTCAGTTGATGGTTTCACAAAATGCCATTAGGTGGGGATGACTGATTTGTCTTCCTTCCTGTTTTGAGATGTAGCAAGACTGACTTCATCCCCCTCTCAGCAGCACACAGGCATTCATAGGCATTGCTCGCTTCCTCTTGCATGCAGAATAGACTGTACTAGGCTCACAGAGCCATTAGAAGACAGGTTTACAAGTTGTATCTTGTTCACAGGCTTAACAACAACACAAGTGACACACACAGTTTGCATGCAAGCAGATGTGTTCAGCTTGAAGAACGTGTTTCTCTGCGTAGTGTGATGGTCATGTTCTTATTCATTCTGTCACCCCCAATTAAGATGTCAAGCATATAGTATATGGGAGATGGCATCAGGAACCTGGTGACACAGTTCCTTAAAATGGAAATCACTGAAGGTGATTATCTATATCCAGTAGGATTCGAGATCAACTTGAAATGGTGTGTGCTCACTTCAAGTGCAGTTAACACTGCACATATGAATGGAGTTGTACAGAAGCTATCCAAGGGAATAGATGGCTACAGGAATCTAATCTACTGGCTAGAAAAGGGTCAGTGAGATGCTGACAGAAAAAGCAGAAGTCATGATGTCCAGTTATCCTCTCACTGTTTAACTTGCTTTCCCTCTGATCTCACTAAACACAACTGCATCATTACACGAGGCACAATGAAGAATGCATCCTGGGGAACGTTTTGGAGTAAGGAGGACCAGTATCTATGAAAGATACTTTTTGACTTAGGAAATCTGAAATAAAATACATTAGAAGCAAACATAAGCAAATGAAAAGGGAGATCTACAGGGAAATTATACCAAATGATCAAGTATAATTGTCTTTAAGTGATAGAGGAAAATCTTACACAGATTATTACTCTTTCTTCAACAAACTGAGTGTTCTAATTCATACAATAATAAGAGAGTTCTTCAAGTATCAAACTATCCAAATTGGCAACCATAATATTTAGTTGAGTAACTGGCTTCTATTTTGGGCGGTAATACTGATGATGGTTATGACAAGAACAAGGGCTTCTATTTCAAATGCCTCCACTGTGTGAAATGTTTGTACGCCCCACCAGGCATTCAGAACACCCCTGAATGGAAAAATATTATGATCTTACTTTGGAGGGTTTGCAAACTCAGGTTTGGAAAAATGAAGTCCTTGGGCCCAAAACACTTTCCTGGTATGTCCTGATCTGGGTTATAGAATCCTGCCGTGTTTTCCTAGTGTGAACATCCCTGGGGTTTCTAGTTTCTAGCTCTGGGTGAACTACAGCAATGAAGGGCCAAGGGAAATGCTTACATCTCTTATCATTATGCAAAAAGCAAAATGGCAAGATTGGCTCTCCTCTACTGACCACCTACCCATCATCTATGTTATAGATCTTTGAACTGGGTAGGGTTCTCACTGGTGACCAGAAGCCAACCTGAAGAAGGCTTGGTTTGAGGGCTTCAGGGTACCTGTTGGTGTGCGAGTTGTTGTGCATGAACCAGCTCCGGTTATTGTCCACATACATTGCCCAAGCTTTGTCGTCCTTTCCTAACATCACATCTTTCATCACATCCATGCGAGCCACGCCAAAGGCAGGATCAGGGTGGTTGTCATAGCGATCTATCGTTAGCTCCCAGTAGTGGACACCTTTGGAGAAGCCAGTCTTCCCTAGCACCACCCGGTCATCGTAGCTGCTGCAGGTCACTGTCAGGTTGTCATTGGAGAAGATGATGTCCGAATGTGCTGAGCCAGGGTCGAAAGCAAACCAGGCCACTGAGAATAACAGAAAGGAAGTGGTTATTGAGACACACTTGAAGAGCTCAGAACTCCTGGGCTATATGGATACAGTAACACTTTTCATGCTGCCATGCAGGGAGGAGATGTCTGGGGTCCAAGTTGCCATGAGTGGATGGCACGTCTCCTGGGAGATGGTACTTTGTACCAGAAGTGGACAGAGGACACACGACCGATTCAGCAGGGGTTACCTGGCTCAGGCTGTACTCCCAACCAGGTGATCTGGGAGAGTGAGGTGGCATGGAGGTTGGAAGGTTCAAGTCCCTCCACCTGGTCACTGGCAGAGCAGTGCACCAGAGACAAGAGGGGACAGGGGATAGGCTAAGAGGCCTGGGTGACCCCTGATGCAGGGAGGCTAGACCTACAGTCCTGGATGGAGGAGGGATAAAACATACTGGGTGAAATCTGGAAACAGTCCCTCAGCAGATTTTCACAGCTGTCTTGCCTGCTGTAAGTTATGCAGATTAATTTTCATGTGTGATTGGGAGTGATTTGAATATAGGACAAGTTGCTTGCTTCCTAACTTAAAAATGCAAGTTATTCCTGAAACTGACGTGATGTATTTTGCTATAGTTGGAGGTAGTTTGAATGTCAAATACAGGTACAATTCTTTTTCCTTAAATTTTGTGTGTGTGTGTGTGTGGTTTGGGGGTTTGAACTCAGGGCCACATGCTTTCTAGGCAAGTGTTCTACACCTTGAGCCATGCCCCCCAACCCTTTTTGCTTTTAGTTGTTTTTTTCCCCCCGGTCCTGGGGCTTGAACTCAGGACCTGGGCTCTGTCCCTGCAGTTGCTTTTGCTCAAGGCTAGCACTCTACCACTTGAGCAACAGCGCTACTTCTGGCTTTTTCTGTTTATGTGGTACTGAGGAATCAAACCCAGGGCCTCATGCATGAAAGGCAAGCACTCTACCACTAACTACATTCTCTGCCCTAAAAGATTCTCTTTTTGTTGTTGTTGTTCATGGAGCTTGAACTCAGGGCCTGTGCGCTGTCCCTGATCTTTTCCCACTCAAGGCTGCCACTTCCTGCTTTTAGTTTTTAGATAAGGGGTGGCACTTTGGCTGGGGCCGGCCTTGCAACGCAATGTTCCTACCTATATTCTCACTTCCTAAATACCCGAGGTTATAGGCCTGTACCATAATGCATGGTGCATGCTTGTTTGTTGAGTTAAAATGTCACTATCTTTTTGGCCTGAGTTGGCCCTGAGTCGTAATCTTCCTATCAGCTAGCATAGTAAGCATGAGCCACACGTCCAGCCTACGATGCCCTCAAGTTTTAAATGCTGCCTACAGATAACACACTCTGGAGAGATGGAATCTCTGATTTACTGAACCTGTGAGCCATCTCACATGTACACTTCAGTCTTTGCTACTTGTAAAAGAATAAGGGCATTCCATACCTGCCAACAGCTTTTTAATGTCAACTGTTGTCATTCCAATGAAAGGCATGGGGAGAGAAACAGGAAGCAAAATTGACATTGATAAGAAAACATGTCTCTTGATAGACTAATACCCAAAAAGGGCTCCATTGAAAATGCTATACACGCTAAACAGCTGCTCTGATTTGCACTTTTATAGATATTTTTGTACCTAAATGCAGATTAAGTGCTCATAAAGAGTGCTTTGCATTGATGCATAAGAAAATTTGGGGGGAAAGGTAAGGTTCAAGGTGTAACATTAAAACAATGAGGCATTTTTTTCACCCAAGAATTTGAGAAACTATGATGGGGTTAGAATGACCATTAGACAATTTTATTTACATAATATAAGCTGCCACCATTTATTTCATGAAGGAAATTGACATAGCAGTCACATAAATAAAAGATAACAATTACAATAAGTATACTTGCCTAATTGAGAGTAAGGTGCAGACTGTGTCTCAAAATTGCATCCTATAAAGAGATACTACACATCAAAGCTATGCAACAAGCAGTATGATAAAAAATATTTGTATACATTTAAAAAGCACCAACTAAATATAATCACTGGAGGCCTGATTCATGGAAAAAAAACAAAGCCCTTTCAACGTTCCTTTTTTTGTAGGTGTGTGTGTGTGTGTGTGTGTGTGTGTGTCTGTGTGTGTATGGGTACTAGGGCTTGAATTTAGGGCCTCATGTCCTCATTTGGTTTGTTTTGCTCAAGGATCACACTGTATCACTTGAGCCATAGCTCCAGTTCTAGCTTTTGGTGGCTAATTGGATATAAGACTCTCTTAGATTTGTCTGCCTGGGTTGGCTTCATACCCAGAATCCTTAGAGCTTAGCCTCTTCGGGCAGCTAGGAATAGATGGGCAGAAGCCATTGGTGCCCAGCTAATTTTTTTTTTTTTTTGCTGTTCTTTCCCAATGAAAAGCACATGTTCTTACACTTTAATAAATCATGCTCCAGTTGATTAGAAACACTATAGCTTAAATGTTCATTATCTTCCATGTTCAATCATGTCCACACAATTTTCTGTACTATGAGGGCTTACTGTTTTAAAAGTGAAATAAATTTTGCCAAATTGAAATGGAAAAATCACTGTGTTTTGATAAATTCGGCATTATTTTATCCTAGCTATTCTAATTTTGGCTGTGGCCAGAGGTTTCTTTTTGTTATGCTTTAAGTCCAAGTAAAATGAAACATGTCCTAAATGTGTAATATAATCCAAACTACATGTGAATACATCTGATACTTTTTAATAATGACGTAGATGTAATGTTTTTAAAAACAACCCGTGCCTGTTTCTTATCAATCCTTCACACGTGAGGGAAAGGAAGAGAGCTACTGGAAGGGGCTCAGAGAGCTTCTGGAATCACAGATGGAACTTTTCCCAATCCCTTCTGTGAGGTCTGAATAACCCACCTGATGAAGATGTACTAAGGTAGAGGTAGGTGGTCTGGCTTTAAAATGCTAAAGTTTTCAACTATGTCAGGAAAATGTGTAGAAAAGGTAGCTTTGATGAGCACTAGGAGAAAAAGGATCATGCGATGTGTTTCCAAACTAAGAAGACCCTTATATATGTATTTCCACGGCAACTGACGCGTACTGTACTGGATGACTTAAAAGGGCTTTAAAAGAATTGACAGCACAACTTATTATAAAAGAAGACTGAATTAAAAACAACACTGAAAGCTTATGACCTTACTTTGGCTAGCTAATTTGATTTTGGGATGAATGCCCATGCAAGAGACTCATTTTCTCCCAACTCATGACTACTTTTATGTCACATTAATCTATATTGTTGAGTTAGAGAATAATACAGAACACTCAGAGTTTTAAAACTCAATTTCGTATCCAGCATTTGAAATAAATTTGCATGTAGCATGTGAATAGGGCTTTTAACTTTTTTACATGAACCATACCTTCTGCAAGTCTTTGTTTCTGAAACAAATGTTCCGAAACCTTTGTACTACTTTTAACACAGCATCATACATGGAAGATTTCAATGATACAACTAAAGCAGTGATATTAAATATACCCATCAAATACCCCCCAGACCCACATTTCATTTTATTCTTGAGACAATATACATTACAAAGACTGTAACAATAGTTCAGTACATTAGACACAAGTGAAGAGTTCCATAACAAAGCATGTGGGAGAGCCAGTAGTGCACAGAAAAACAATAACAGAAAAGCACAAAGGAAAATGTCATTGTCAAGAGAGCTTGAAGTCCCTGCATCCCTTTTTGCACTGTCATGCGGTGGCCTTCTTCATTCCAGGATGTGGGATGAGCCAAAAAAATAAAAGAAAAACCAAAAGAAACCTTGGGAAATGGGTAATGTGCATTGCATGTATCCATGATTATAATATAGTCCTGAAGAGATCAAATAGGTGTGCAACTCAGATATTTGAAGAGCTACATTTGAAGCTAGACAGAGCTTACTGTGACTACCACAGGTCTAGCTTCCCTGAAATTAGCCCCGGGTCCTGTCACAACCAGCTTGACTGTGAGAAACTTTCTGAGGCTGAACCATTTGATGACAGGATCTTTAGGCATTCAGCATCAGGAATGAAAGATTTCTAATTCAGCTAGCAGTGGTCCTTGCCCTTGATTGACCATGAGCCCCAGATCCTACCAGTAAGTGCAGGCTTTTGCAGAAAAATACCTCCAACTTTCTGCCCTCAAGTTTGCCTGCTCTGTAGGATGCATTCTGCTGTTGATGTGCTTTCACTTTTATTTTATCAAAAAGATCTCTTGAGTCTATGTTTAATCAGACCACTCCAGGCTGGATGCACTGATCCAGTCTCCCAGACACCGCTGGTTTCCTGGATACAGAGGGTTGCAAACCTCTAAACTACTGCGATAGCCTCTGCTTAGCCGGTGCCTGTGCCGTGCTGTGCCACTGAATGTGATGACAGAGCAAGTTACCCAAGGTGGTACCAGCTTTGTGCAAAAAAGAACAACTTTGCTCATCACTTTCCAGTGCTATTACAGATGGACCACAGCTCCATGGTGGGTCCTCACACCACACAAACAAGAACACCACAAAGCTCCATCATCCCAAAGCTCCTCACACTGGAAGCAGGCCACAGACACAGAGACCAGCTGATCCCCCTCACCACGCACATGAATGGCAAGAACAAAACATGAGTTTCAGAGAGAGATGCCTTCAAGGCACAGAGATGGAGAGGAAAAGTCTGACAGCTCAGCTCACCGGGTGCATTGAGAGACTGTAAAGAAGAATGCAAGCTCAGCTGGTGGGGTGAGGATCGGAAATCAAAGTAGGATCTCCCGGGGAAGCTGGGTTGTAGATTAAGGGTGGAGGAGAAAGGACTCATTCTACGGAGCGGCAATCTTTCCGAAGGCACTGGAAAAGGGAGGGTCTGTTCTTCTGAATCTGTGTCTAAATGTAAGATCAATGCAAACTAGAGATCAGAAATCTGCTACCTTTCCATGCCCAGTTCCCCAACACCTCCTGACCAGTGCATTCATACAAAGCCTCATCTGCCCACATGGCCATTGGTAGGCATTAGCAAAACTAAGGTATCCAGGGGCTGGCAAGGAATTCTTACCAGGTCAGGCCCCAACACCAAAGGACACTTCCAACATCACAGGCAATCATTGTTTTCATTCTCCTTCCAAATTTTTTTGATAGCAAAGTGTTTTTTTTTTAAAAAAAAGATTTCTTTTAATTAAATGAAATATTTTGAGTTGATTTTAGAGGTAAATTTGATCCAGTATGACCAAGAAGAAATTAATACTTTATCAGCATCAGCTACTTCAGAAAGGATTATTCATTTAACAATATTCTCTAAAAGGATTCTATTTAGGAAATGATTTATTTTACAAATGGTTCCATATTTCCCCTTCCTTGGCAAATAAGTTTATTTTCCTTTGATGGATGATTTTTTTTATATCAGCAACTCAAGATTTCATCTTTTAATAGAGAAGAGACATGGCATTGGCCTACAAAGAAGGCGCTGGGAAAATAATCCGAGACTGCGCCTTACCTTTGTTCTGAATTATGATCAGACTCTAGGGATATCTTCTCAGGTGCTCTAATAATAAACAGACTGTGAGCAGCGAGAAGGTACATTGGTATAAAGTATCTAATTCTTTTCATCTAATTCTTGACATGGAGATCATTATTATATCAGAGAAAGAACTTATTAATTACTTAATTATCTTTTTTCTTTGTCAAACAATAGCTGGTTCATGCAGTATTTTGGGTCTTTCATCAATAGGGGCCTTCTTAAAACTCAGTTTAAATAGAAGTAGTTCAGGAACTTTAGTTAGCATAATAGATAATGTTTCATGTCCTAAACCCCCAAGGAGCTTTCTTTCCATTGAAAAATAATTCAGTTTTGGTAGGAATTGTTGGCAATATTTTTCTGGCTTGAGTTTGTTAGTAGCTCTTCATCATCATATATTCTTCTCCTATCAAAATGGGACTCTGTGTATTTCAAACAAAATATAAGCAGAGTGCACGCGTGTGTGACAACACAATCCTATTTGAAGAGCTGAGGAAAAGGGCTTTGGAAAATTTTAATATGGCCAAGAAGCACCCTCATTTTTATTCCTGAACTCACAATATTAGAGTTAGCTTTTCAGACTTTGGACTTATCCTTGGGGGTATTTTTTTTTCTCTAACTATAAGCCAGATGTTGAACAAAAGGAATTTCTATTTATGAAGTTAAGGCTTTACATTCCCAATAGTAATGGAATGAAATTTTCTACCTAAACTTCATATTGTTTGGATGACTTGGCATGTATGACTGTCTCTTAGCATAGATATAGTCATATCCAACCATCAAAAATTATTAATGTCACGATCAACTTGAGGGGGAAATTAACCTCTTTGTTTTAATGGGAAAACTTGAAATACGATGACATGGGTTTCTTTTAAAAAGAGAAGGTATTTACAACTGTAGTTACCTTAACAAACACTTTTATTAACAAGAAACTTACTTGATTTCACCAGAACTGATAATCATCTCATTTTACTAAAATACTCATTGCTTTGAAAATTAAGGAAAAGGATATATGTTGCAAGATGAATTTCAGAGCAAATCATTGGAAATCCCATGAAAAGATGTGTACTGAACCCAGGATTTGAGAATGAGAGCCAATTGTGTAACAAGTTGTACTCACCTTTCTATTTTCAGCACCAGGAAGAACTCAGAGTTGGTAATAACACCACTTTGAGGCCTAGAGACTGGTAATGATAGGGAGCCATAGGTCTACCACGGCTCCATAGGATCAGTAAGTTGGCACTAAAATGGCATTGTTCTTCCTATCCTTTCATGCGGACCCATTGTTTACTGGTAACCCAAATTTTCTATGACTTCTTTTATTCTTGAACCCTATGCTCTCTACTCAGGCAAACATTCAATATTCCTATCACCCAATGATTCCACCTTTGTTCCTAAGTTTTTCTTTACTTATTTTTTCTCTACTTATTCCATCT